TCCAACATATATTCACATTTAACAGAGCATTATCAGTCACGTCTTAGCAGTCATATCTTATGCAATGTCAACCAGTTTGTCATGCTGCATTAATTAGGTGTAGAGCAATGGCACGAGGGAAAAAACTGTTCCGGTGTCTAGATGTCTTAACATGCAGTGCTCTGAAAGAAGATAGATTTTTTCATCACAGGAAAAGATGGGATTTCTGAAGTATACAATCTGTTAAGTTCCTTTGCTAAACAGAATCATTATCACTAACAATTGCTAACACAATAAACAAGGATACACTTACTGTTTAATTTTAAAGTTTTAGTATAATGTAAAGTGGCTGAAATACATTTTTATTTATACACATTTGCTGGAGAATAGATAGCCCAGCAATGTATAAAAATGAAACTGGAGAGTAAGGTTTTTTTCAGCTATGTTGAAAACTATGAGAGTTTAGTGTTTTCCTAGCTTTTTGGCAAATTGTCATATTGGAGCACAAACCTTTTACCAACAAAATGCAAAGCTAGCTATTAATTGGATCCAGATGTTGCAGGAACATCCTAGAAATTTCCTAGACAGATGACTGTATTTCTATATGCAATTTTTGCTATCATTCACTTGAATTCCACTAATTCTAAGAAATCCACTTTTAGCTATTTCTTTTTAGGAAGAAAAATACAATGTATCCATGGAGCAGCTAAATAAGAAGTGATAGATTCCAGGAACACCATTATTATGTAACAAAGAACTGAGCAAGCTAAGACAGAATAGCCGCTCTTCCTGCAATACATGGATAATGAGAATCTGCACTAAATTATAACAATGCCATGTTAGTGGGCAGAGAATAGTTGATTAAAAATAGAATGATATCATTGGACTGATATAAGAAACCTCCTCTGATTGGATGTTCTCTAATAATACAGAAGATACTTTATTTTTTAAAACGATATAACTTGTTTTTTCCCCAGACTGTACTCCTTATTTGAATTCAGTGGGAAAACATGTGATTGGAGATGTACAGAACATCACAATTAGTCAGTATGCGTGCTCTGACCAAGTTGCAGTGGCTGTATTGTGGACAGCCAACCCCACCGGTAAGTAGAGAGAAAAATGGATTTCACACAGATGCCAAGCCATTGGAAATGTCTGCCTTTTTCCATTCCAGCTAAACTGTGTCATCTTCCAGCATGGTACATAGAATCCAGGTTTCAGATCTCTTGAAATTAAGCAATCTAATTCTTTGGGCAAGAAAGTTGGCCCAACATTCTTAACATTGAAGTTTTCTCTGAAGGAATTGAAGATGGTCCATTTCAGCCAGGCTAATTTGCCAAATGTAAAAAAACATTTCCCCTTTCTATTTAAAGACATTTTGACTTCCTTCAGAATTGCTTTTTCTTTGTCGTTCTAAAATCATCTTCATCTTTGAATAGATAGGAGAGCCCTTAAGTGTTTGGCATTCAGACTGGTGATGCTTAACTTAGCTGATCCCCTCCATGTTACTTTAACTCTCCCTGTGAGTTCCTCCCAAACTTGCTTGGACATAAATGTTAGAGAAATTAGTAATACTTACATCCAGGTCAACCGTGTCTGTAATTTGTACACTCATCCTTTATATCAGAACTCAAGGAAGAATTCATAAACATAAAGTAATGTAGAGATGTACTGAATTCCAGAATAATGAGTTCCTACATACAACTTTTTATTGTGTTCAAAGTTGTACTGGCTGCATTGAGACCTCATCAGCCTTTTGAAAGGGCCATAATAGAGAACTGATGATAGAAACACATTTGCAAAAGAATTTATAAATATATTTTGGGGAAACAGAAAAAGGAATGGTTAAATCTTGGTAACTCACAATGTATTTCATTATATTTAGTGCGCTGTTAATCTGAGTAGGAATAATGAGTGGCTATTAAAAAGAATGTGGAAGTGATATCCAATGCTTCTAAGAGCACAGTGTTACTGAATTGCTAATTTGCAGCTGCAGACTTGGATGCATTAAATCTCCAAGGCCTACAAAGCTTGGTATTTTCTCTTGTAATGATCAGAGGTTAATCCTTTTCAAAACATCAAGAAGGGACTGAAGTTGAAGGCTCTCAGGTAACAGGGATCTGGTTAACTTTTCTTATTCATTGTCTGTATATTAGCACAAATAGTACTTTTCTTCCTTTAAATATTAAGGACACAGCAGGTAGCTGATTTGCCTTCATTTAGAGCTGGGAAATAAGATATTTGTACAAATGTACATATATCAAATTCCAAATTCAACCACAATGAATGAATGAGTATGTGTGTGTATAAATCTAGTTTAGTGTAAAGTATTGTAGGAGTATGGGAAGATTTTTTTTTTTTTTGCAGTTGCAGACAGTTGCAGTTAAACTGGTCTGCTTAGAATATTTTATTTAGAATGTGCTTGTTTAAGAATGCCATACAGTGCAAATTTAATTGCCAGGTTTTCCTAAATTATGTGCTTTCTCAATGTGTATAGCGCCAAGATTAGCACTCTCAGATCTGTGTCCTCCATATGTGTAGACTTTAAATCCCTGAATTCTCAACAATGGTCATGTTGAGACCTGATCTATACAGTTAATGTTCCATAAATGGTGGGAGACAGGAGCTTAAACAGAAGATAAAGTCTCATGATACACATCCTGTTTTTTTTGTTTTTTTTCTCTGTTCTCTTTTCTATCCTGGAGGTATATTGTATTTTATTTTTTCGTTCCATATTTTGATGCTGTTACAAATTGTAAGTGTTTCAGAGTTACTTTAGCAAATTGGACGGCCATATAAATCTAAGAAAACATATTCATCAGTAAGCTTATTTATTGATCTGATTTTTGTTTAACGTATGCAGGTATTGAATTTCTGAAAGGATTTCGAGTTATACTTGAAGAGTTAAAATCAGAGGGAAGACAATGTCAGCAGCTGCTTTTAAAAGACCCAAAGCAGCTCAACTCAAGTTATAAGTGGACTGTAAGTCTTGGTGCTGAAATTCATAGCACGGAAATCTCAGAGCCATAGTCTTATAAGAAGCCTTACTGAAATTGTTGGGATATTTTACTAAAGGATTTTTTTTAATCCCACATATTTGCCTGGAATATCAGAGTCTGGGAACTCCTCACTAGGGCTGTGCACGCTTCAAGAATAATTCAGAAATACAAGCACAGCCCTCTCTTGCTCCTTCATTAAAGGTTTTCACATAAGCCTGAAAAAAGATTCTGCTGCTCTAAGAGTTGCCATAATTTTAATCTGTGGATTCCTTAAAGGTACGGCATCTTTTTTCAGGTTCATGCTTAATAGGGCGGTGGGAAGTCGTAATTTAGCAGCATCTGTATATCACAGTTTGCATTTGTATGAAAAATAAGTGTGGAATTATGAGGAAACAGAGATTGTAGACTGCATCTTCTACCTTTTCCCTTATTATATTAATCATGCCCCACTAGACTCTATAAACTCTTCTTAAAACCTTAACTAATTGGATTGTCATAAAAGAAAAGGAAGTTGGGCTTCTCTGATGGTAATATACTTTGATTCCTATAAATGGGAAATGTGGAATTATATTAGGAAAGTACATGTCCTCACATTGCATGGTCATGTTAAAATATGTTACTACTGTGATTGGCTTACATTTCTTCTCTTTCAGAGAGTGGAATCTCAGCCCTTCCTAAATTTGAAATTTGAAACTGACTACTTTGTAAAGATTATTCCTTTTCCATCCATTAAGAATGAAAGTAACTACCATCCTTTTTTCTTCAGAACTCGGCGTAAGTACCACAGCAATTATTCCTTTCTGCCTTATGGATCTTTGCGTCCTGAATCTTAATGAAAGCTGATAGCAGCTGAAATTGCATGCTTTCTAGTTAAAGTTCACATCAAAGCGTACGTTAAATGCAATGGCTTTGTAGGCCTTGGGGAGAAAATGTGGATGGGCATCAGAATCTATGATATGGGAACATATTTAGGCAGGTTTTGATACACTGAGCTGATTTTAGTAAGACGTTCCTGTAAAAATATTTAAACTGCGTGCATGCTTTTCCCCCAGCAACTGCCATTTCCTTTTGGAAATTAAATGGCTAGTCTACAAATTCATCAGCGTGTATACATGCATCAGGCATATGAGATTAAGACTTAGGCTCTTCTGTTGTCTTTCATGTCATTTGGAGACCTATGTATAAATACCTTTTCAAGCAGGATTTTGCTCAAGCAGCCTATATTCACACACACACACACACACACACACACACACACACACACACATATACTATGTGTGTATGTTGGGCAGATTGCTCCCAGAATACGCTGGAGGAAGTTGTTCCTTGTTGGCGTGAGTTTTTTTCCACTTGGCAAGATAAAGTGGATAATGCCTGCACATACATGTAGAGACAGCTGGGAGCAGCTTCTGAAGCAGCTGTGTGAGTCTGGAAAAAAACTGCTGCTGCTGCTGTTGCTCTAACAGTTTGAAAAGAAATGCTTTGTCCATGTTCTCATGCATTGTGAAGTATAGCTTTTGAAGTATTTGCACCATCCTAATCCAGACTGACCATTAGCTGCTTTCTACATGTAAAGGTTAGTAGAAGGGAACAGCCCTAACCCTCCATCCCTACTTTTCTGATCAATGTAAGAATGCACATGCTTTTTGTATGTTGCACCATAAAGTCATGGGATTATCCTATTTATGTGCTGGGTTTATCTCCTGGAGAACCTAACATGTCTTTTTCTCGCAAATATGGACAGGTACCAATTAGTCTGAACAAGCTGTTCATGTAAAATAATTACACTGCATGCACAATTATTAGGCAAGTTGTATTTTTGAGGATGAATTTCATTATTGAACAACTACAGTGCTCTCGG